ATTCCCAGCTGGGAAAGTTTTGCTGGACTACACTTTTAGTTTTTGTTGGATCTGTTTTAAATGTGAAATTTCCTATTAAAGAAACTCATTGCTTTTCCTCCCACCCTTTGCTTGTAGTGGGAAAGAATCTCTAATTCTCTGGTGCTTGTACCAGAGACTCACACGTCTTGAATGCAAGAAAAAGAAAAATATTCCTCTGCCTCTTTTTTTTCTTTTTTCCTAAAAAAAATTTCTTCTTGGAGATATCTTGGAGGCCTATTAAGCTTCTAAATACAGAGGTTTATAATGAAAAGGAAGATCTTTAGTTGCAGAGACACTGATGCGTACCACTAATCTAAGTTGTATTACTTAGGAGGGGGTATTAAGAGCTAAAGATGCAAGTGGCTGGTGCCTTCACAAGAGAATACAGCATCTGTGGGGCCTGATTTGGGGCCGGAGAGGTCGGAAAGAAGGTTTTCTCCCTCTTTGTTTTTCCCCATATGGGCTAGTTGCTATGGCAGGTACAGTCTGCTCCGATGGGCCTCTGCGGGCAGGTCCCCTCCCGGCTGGCATGGCCTTAACAATATAAATCCTGGTCAAACTGCCCGTTCTGGACAGCGGGGCTGCCACGTGCGGGCAGGTGCCAACAGAGGGAGCTGCGAGATCTGCGATGTGCAGCCGTCCGCGCGCCCGGACCGCGGCCTCGGTGGCATCGGTGGCATCGCTTCTCGCCATGGAGTGCCCCTTGGGCACAGCTGCTGGGAGAAGGAGGAGGGGAAAAAATAAAGAGGAAAAAAAAAAGGCTTAAGAATATATTTTGCAATGAGAAATAGCCGTTAAAGGAGTTTTAATGCCTCATCTCCCAAATCAAGCAATTAATAGAAAATCTTCCTGATTTCTTCACGGTGTCCCACAGCTGCACAAACAGCCAGCGAAGGGGGGGACCCATGTCAGAGTCCTAAAACTGCAGCTCTGCAGGACCAGGACCCCTCTGCATCCTGCCCTGTGAAGGACAGGAACAGGGATGGGGATAGTGCATAAGAGACTCCCCAGGTACTGGGGAGGGTGTTTAATTGCAGGCAGCTTGTGTTGTGGGTTAGAATCGACAGGTCGATTTATTTTTATATCGTTTAGGGCACATTCGATAGCTGGCACAGGCTCCGGAGCATGGGAAGGCTACGGGCTCCTTGCAGTTTGCATAACACAAAATCAATAAACACATTCAAGCAGATGGAAAGCAAAACGCAGAAGAAAAATGGAGCTCCGAGGAAAGAAAAGAAATAGCAAACAACACTTTCCATGGATGCTTCCCCTGGAAAGCAGATGCTCCTGCAGCGGAGGGACCTGCTGCGGCTCCCGGGGCCAGGATGTGCCCCAGAGACATCCCCACCTGCAAAGGGCACCTCGCAGTCGCGCCGTAACCAGCAAAATATCACCCTTTATTGCAGCCGTGACCTACTGCATGGCGCGTAATGAGGAATTTTCCATTTCAAACTTTAATGCAATAATTAAGACGTCCATTAAGGTCTTTACAGTTTGACTGCTTTGTAATTAAAACTCAGGGGGGCAGAAGGGGGGCCAGGAGTTGCAGCGCGAGGCATCAAGCTCCTGGCAGCAGCTTTAAATGTCACCCCCTTTTTTTCCCTTCTCCCTTTCTTTCTTCAAAATCATTTTCCTGTTCTTATTTTAACCAGTTGTCCTTGGGGCAGGTGGCTTTGACAAGGCGACAGTGCAGGAAAATTTCAACACAAGAAGCAACCCGAGGTCAAACGAGCGCAACTGCTCCTAAAAATGACTCCTTTCCCCACTGCCAAAGCCCCTGCGGGCTGCAAGGCCATGAGTTATCCTCATTCAGTATTGCTTTTGCCCTAAAATCTTGTTCTCGGATTGGTAGGTTTTTGTTAAGGATGCAGAAAATAGTAGTTTGGTGGTAGAGCTAGTTGCCAGGGAATCTTCAGCTGATCCCTCGCATCCTTCTCCAGGTCACTTCCCTGGGTCCATGCAGCTTCCTGACGGACTCTTGTTCTTCTAGACACACCGCTCGCTGCAATCTCCCAGCCCTCTGGCATTAATTATTCTCTAATAAATTGTTTTTAATTTCAGCTCCAAAGGAAAAAAAAATATCCGCTTCCACGGGAGACAAGGGAAAGGTACACGTGTAGTAATTATCTGTAGGATTTTACACAAAGAATTAGAAACCTAGCAGAGCATGTTCTGCATTCTCATTAAAGGCAAAGAGCCAGCGGTTGGCAGGGGATTTTCCTGTGCAACCAGTTTGGCTCTTTGCAGCTGTTAAATTCCTTTCATGTTTTCTTTTTCTTTTTTTTTCCTTCTCCTCTCTCCTACCAAGTCTCCTGCAAAAAAAAAAAAAAAAAAAAAAGGCTAATTTATACTCTCTCCCATGTACATGTGCAAATAGGAGTGAGGCGAAGGTTTGGAATGCATCCTCGGCCACCCATCACTGACGATTCGAGGTGAACTTGAGATTGTTTTGCAGTGTGCAATTACTCCCTGGAATAACTCATACTAAATGACTTTGTGATAATTTTGAGATTGACATTCTCTGGTAGGGTAACCACTCCTCAGATTTCTAGAAATAGCAGAAAAAAAGGCCCTCATGCACCCAGCTCAGCTTCCAATCCAGGGGTGTCAACACTGCAACATTTGAGGAGTGATGATATCTGTCCAATGGTGATTTTGTGCCTGGAGACATTTGGGAATGCAGAATTCAAACTTATTTCATTGCTTAGTCTAGTGATGCATTTCTGAGCATTAAAATTACAGGGAGATTTTGATTCACCTCCAAATGAGAATGTTTCCCCAGCTCGTGTCCCTGCAATGAGGTAAATGAGAAGCTTCAGCTTTGCTGTCTCCAGGCTGTGGGCTCAACTCTTTGAGATGTATCACGTAGCAAGTGACCTCAGGATTTTCAGAAATGCCCTCAGTAAATCTCCTTTGGGTTGAGTCAGGAGAAAATTACCAAAATCTGGAAACACAGCAGCTACCTGCAGAGCCTCAGGATGGTCAAACTCTCCTTAGGAGGCTTTTGAATTCCTTCATATTGGTTTAGATTTGAAAAACATGAACTGCTTTCCAGAGCTAAAAGAAAAACATACCCAGAATCAGTTACATTTTAAAGGGTTTAAGGCAGAAGCCACGGCTGAAAGAGCAGCAATGGGATGCATTAGCCATAGGTTTAACGGAGATGGACAAAGCTGTTCAGGATGCTGATGGAACCAGAGCACAGTTACTGCAAAACCCACTATTCTGGTACTGGTGTGGTTTTATGCCGACTGCTATTGTAGTTATCGTGCAGGGGACCAGAGAGACCAGAGACAGGTTAAAGGCAGAGACAGAAACACTAACACAAGTAAGAAAGGGCATTTTGTGGCCTTGTGCAGAGCCCTGCCCATGTTTACAGGCTGCTAAGAGCCTGTTATCCTTCACAGCCAATTTCAGAGCCCGGCTTTTCTCTTCTCCTTCAGTGCACAGTCAGGTTTTGCTCTCTTTTGATGGTGTCTCTCAAACCTTTCCCTCCTCCTCCTTGGAGATTTCTGGATTAAAGACTAAAGCACGGAATTGATTTCCTGGGCGTGCATTAGGGAGGATTATTCCAGGAGATTCCCCCGCATTTGATGGATTACTGTTTCCAGGGACGAGCATCTCAGATCTCAGCCCATCCTTCCCTCTGAATGTCCCAGCATGT